CTTCTCTGATTGCTCTGGCTAGTACTTCCAATACTGTGTTGAATAGGAGTGGTGAGAGTGGCCATCCTTGTCTAGTTCCTGTTCAGGATGATATTGGCATGGGTTTATCATATATGGCTTTAATTATGTTGAGATACTTTCCATCTATACCTAACTTATAGAGGGTCTTTGTCATGAATCAATGTTGAATTTTATCAAATGCTTTTTCAGCATCTATAGAGATGACCATATGGTCCTTGTGTTTGATTTTATTAATATGGTGTATGACATTTATTGATTTGCATATGTTGAACCAACCTTGCATCCCTAGGATTAATCCCACTTGATCATGGTGAATAAGTTTGCATACGTGTTGCTGTGTTCTGTTAGCTAGTATTTTACTGAGGATTTTTGCATCTATATTCATCAAGGATATTGGGATGTAGTTTTCTTTTTTAGTTTTATCTTTATCTGGTTATGGTATCAGAATTATGTTTCCTTCATAGAATGAGTTTGGGAGATTTGCCTCTGTTTCAGTCTTTTGGAATAGTTTGTAAAGAATTGGTGTCAATTCCTGTTTGAATGTTTGGTAGTGAATCCATCTGGTCCTGGGCTTTTCTTTGTTGGGAGCCTTCTGATAACAGCTTCAATCTCCTTTTTGTTAATGGTTTGTTCAGATTTTCTACATCTTCTTGGCTCTGTTTAGGTAGCTTGTGTGTGTCCAGAAATTTATCCATTTCCTCCAGATTTTCAAATTTGTTGGCATATAGTTTTTTATAGTAGTCTCTAATGACTCCTTGTATTTCAGATGTATCAGTTGTAGTATCACCTTTTTCATTTCTAATTTTTGTTATTTGGATCTTCTCTCTTCTTTTTTTAGTTAGCCATGCTAATGGTTTGTCAATTTCATTTATCTTATCAAAAAACCAACTTTTTGATTTGTTGATCTCTTGTATCATTTTTTGGGTTTCAGTTTCATTAAGTTCTGCTCTGATCTTAGTGATTTCTTTCCGTCTGCTCACTTTGGGTTTGGATTGTTCTTGTTTTTCTAGTTCTTTAACGTGAAGTTTTAGGTTGTTCACTTACCGTCTTTCCATTCTTCTGAAGAGAGCATTTAATGCGATAAATTTCCCCCTTAGTACGGCTTTTGCAGTATCCCACAGGTTTTGGTATGATGTATCATTATTTTCGTTAGTTTCAAGAAATTTTTTGATTTCCTGCTTGATTTCTTCTTGGACCCATATGTCATTAAGTAGAATGCTGTTTAATTTCCATGTGTTTGTATAGTTTCCAGAATTTTATTTGTTATTGATTTCTAATTTCAGTCCATTGTGGTCTGAGAAAATACATGAGATAATTCCAATTTTTTTTGAATTTGTTGGGACTTGATTTGTGACCTAATATGTGATCTATCCTGGAGAATGATCCATGTGCTGATGAGAAGAATGAATATTCTGAGGTTGTTGGATGGAATGTTCTGTAGATATCTGCCAAGTCCAATTGGTCTAGAGTATTGTTTAGATCTTGTGTTTCTCTGCTGATTCTTTGCCTAGATGATCTGTCCAATATTGACAGTGGGGTGTTCAGGTCCCCTGCTATTATGGTATTAGTGTCTCTTTCCTTCTTTAGGTCTAATAGAGTTCGTTTTATAAATCTGGCTGCTCTGACATTGGGTGCGTTTATGATTGTTATGTCTTCTTGATGGCTCAATCCTTTTATCATTATGTAGTGGCCCTCATTATCTCTTTTTGTGGTTTTTAGTTTAAAGTCTATTTTATCAGCTCGTTTTTCATTTCTGTTTGCGTGGTAAATCATTTTCCATCCTATTACTCTTAGTCTATGTGAATCTTTATGGGTGAGGTGGGTCTCTTGAAGGCAGCATATAGTTGGGTCCTCCTTTTTAATCCAGTCAGGCAGCCTGTGTCTTTTAATTGGGGAATTTTAGTCTTTTATATTAAGACTTGTTATTAAAAGTGTTGATTTAATCCTAGCATTTTATTCATTATTGTTTGGATGTCTTAGGTGTTGTTTGTTCCTTTCTTTCCGATTTACTGTTTGTTTTCTGTATTTGTTGGTTCCTTTGGTTGTAGGTAGCCTTTTTGTTTGTTTTTTCTTATGCATGCCATTTTTATTATACTAGTGGGTTTTGATTTTTCTTGGGTTTTTATGATAGTGCTAGTTATTTTTCAGGTACGAAACCCAGTACTTCCTTGAGAATTTCTTGTAAGGGTGGTCGTGTGGTAGTGAACTCCTGCAGTTTTTGTTTGTCTGAGAAGTATACTATTTACCCTTCATTTCGGAAGGATAACCTTGCGGGGTAGAGTATTCTTGGCTGACAAACTCTGTCTTTTAGTATTTGGAATATATCCTCCCATTGCTTTCTGGCTTAGGGTTTGTGATGGAAAATCTGATGTTAATCTGATTGGGGCTCCCTTATGGGTGATTTGATGCTTCTCTCTTGCAGCTTTTAAGATTCTCTGTTTGTCTTTGAGTTTTGCCAATTTGACTATAACATGTCTTGGAGAAGACCTTTTTGGGTTGAATACATTTGGGGATCTTTGAGCTTCCTGAATCTGAAGATCTGTGTCTTTTTTCTAATAACTGGGAAGTTTTCCACCACTATTTTGTTGAATATGTTTTCAATGCAGTCTCCTTTTCCTCCCCTTCTGGAATACCCATGACTCGGATATTTGAGTGCTTAAGGTTGTCTAGGGCAGGCCCGGTGGCGCACTGCTACAGTGCGCCGCTTGGGAGCGCGGTGGCGCTCCCGCCGAGGGTTCGGATCCCACATACAGACC